AGCAATGTTAAATCACCAGTTGTTCTCCCCGCCAGTGTTTTGCAAGAAAGTATGTGTTCGCGAATGTTGCTGGTATCCACATATCTCACAAAAGCAACCAATTGTGCCTGTCCACTGACATCAACCGATTCATCCAATTGAAGTGAAAATGATTCACCAGCCCTGAGTTTATCCAACAGTTGGTCAACTATGTCAGTGCCCATCTTGTCAATTCTACGCGAAACAGTTTTGATCTTGTCTGCTTGTTTTATCCACACAGCATAAGATGCTTCGACTGCTTTTGCTGATGCACTTTTTTCATGTTCTCTTGGCATGATGTAAATTCATGAAATTTTCTTCTGAAAAACTCCAGTGAGTTCCCGACCTGATGTGGGTGTTAAGTCCGGAGATGCTGTTGAAGATGAGATGGCTTCATTGCGCTGTTAGCTAACAGCTCACCACATAAAAAGCACAGTGCTGAGGGAGGGTTATGTGAAGTAGATGTAAATCCCATCCCTATGTATTCATCACGAAACTGGCGGTATTTTTGAGGCTCTGGTTTTGATTTTTTTTTAGCATGTTCGTCTTCTCTCAGAGGAGCTTGTCCTCTTTTAAGAAGCCACCTGTTCATTTTATCGCAACCTCTCCTAACCTACATTATTTGGCGCGCAGACACTGCTCCTGATCCGGGTCTCAATAAACAATAATAATTTGAAATGCATTTTAAGTTTGTGACTTTATTTTTAATGCACTTTTGTGTAGTCCTAATTTCATATAAAAATACAATAACCTATTTTCATAATTTATTCCTAAATGTCAGTTTCCACTTTCTCGCACGTACCCCCTGCAGTACCCCCGCGTACCTACATTTGAGAACCACTGGTATAGAGTGTAGAAACCGGAATTATATGTTAGTTGCAGGGTTTTTTGTGAGGAGGAGCATAAAGCTTCAGCTATCTTAAAGAAAAAAGATGATGGATCCTTACTGGACATTTACAAGAACTAAGCAAGTTTGTATATGTTCTGAATGCCATGTGTTTGTGCCATTTTGTTTATTTTATTGGTAACACTTTACAATAAGGTTGTATTAGTTAATGCATTAGTTAACATTAACTAACCATCGAGTAGCTTGTTACATTAAAACGTGGCTCCTTACCTTAAAAAAAGACCAAGCTGTGTGTGAAACTTT